AGATGTTTTAGTGTGTAGTATCGCTGTATATTTTTACGAGTTGTGCCGTACTTTGACGAGCCCGTAGGGCGAGTCAAAATACAAACAACGAGTAAAAATACACAGGGATGCTGCACACCAAAACATGCAATAAGAGATTTATTATCCAACTGCTGTATTCAATAAATTTATCAATGAAAGAGGGAGAGTGTGACAGTTTAGCGTGCGCGCGCCGACCTGTACGGCAAACAGGTTTTCTACTGGACAAATATGACAAACAGGTTTTCTACTGTACAATATCGCTGTATATTTGTACTGTTATTTGGACGGTATTCGGTGCAGTTGGATAATAAGGCAATTTACCGCACCCAAATTCGCAAGTAGTCAATCAGAAGCCGTCCTGATATCCTGCGATATCAAGTAATTGATCTGATATCGCTAGATATCATGCTCACTTGGTCCAATTTGGGCACGGTAAATACCTTTTTTGGTACGCTTCGGAGCTGGCATATCAGGCGAGTTTGGTATCACCATGGGCATTTTGACTCGACTACGTCTCGCTAAAATACGAATCATGGCTCGATCAAATTCGCCTGATATGCCGCCGAAGCATACCAAAAAGGTACAATTAGGTAATAATAGTCAAATGGAAACCAAACTCACCAAGTTTACAAGAGTTGCAACAGGAACTTCTCTGATAGGTCCGTACATGCGTACCAACGCTTCAATAGATGAACCGAAAACACTTGGGAGATAGTTACCGCTGACCGACACCTGTCTACCGTTAAGAAAATTACTGCAATATTGAAGGGAGCTATTTTCACTTAGCACAATATTACCACTGGAAGTAATATAATATAAATACCTCTCAGGGGTTTCATTAAGGGCCGGGCACCGGGCAAACTGCCTGACCGTGAGGATGATTTTCAGTGCCCCTCTGGTTTGACCATCTAGCGGAAGGTTTTTCTTATAAAGAAGTTCAGTTCTAATAGTTTTGCCCATGTGTGAAAAGAAGTTCCCTCCTGCTGAAAACGTTAATGAAACCGCTGATTATCACAGAAAGTAACTGTACCTGCAAAAAATTAACGTTTTTTGTCGCGCACCCAGCTCTTGGAAATTCGACAGTGATGATTCCATAGAGAATTAGTCTGTGATCTTCCATAGGGCTGCGTTTTCAGTATCGAAGTGCTCATCTTGAAGACAGCAGACTCAATATTCGTAATTTGTTGTAAGTTATAAGTATTGCAATGTTAGTAATGAACTATAGGTAATGCAAGACATGCAGTGAAAAAAAAAACTAAATAAAATTAATAAGTAGACTATGTAGCAACGTAGGAAGACACTTCTAGGTCTTTCCTACAGAACATGTGACTACTCCAAAAAGGGTCAGCGAAGGAGCTTATAGATTTGTGAATTCCAAGGATATAAAAAAGTCTTTTCCACCCTCCAAGTGAAGAACGAGAATATCTTCAAGTTTCTCGTCTCCAGAATTCATGGTTCTTGACGATTCTTTATCAACGTACACAGTAAGACGAACATGTTTGGTGCCTCCTGCCAGGACAAAGAACAAAGACTGTAAAACTACTCAAAAACAAGATCACGACACTTCTAACCTATTCCTTTCGAATCCAAGCTGTAGACTACAGCTTTAACTTCAATCTCTTATTTCCATTGTTCATGAAAAGAGACGATAATTAAGTAAATTGACACAATCATGTGCGTCCAACTGCAATCTTTATCCCGGGTGGTAATCCTTACAATTACTACCCTGGATATGTTACCTGTTGTTATAATCCCCATACATGGTTTGACAGTCAACCAAGGCTTACAGTATTCAGTATCATCTAATTTAGCTACGAAAGCAAACCGAGCTGGCACCTGTCAATCAATCAAACAGTCATCAATCACATAACCAAACCCAAGTTTCAAAATACACAGAAAATGGTAAAAAGACAAAAAATAAACCTTAGTAGAGTACCTATGACTATTTGCACAGTCATCCCATAATCGAGTATCAGGCAGGGGCGTAGCCAGAGGGGGGTGTTCCCTAAGGGTCCACCCCCCTCGCCCTTTTCTGGTGAAATGTTTGTTTTAGTAAAAAGCAGCCCTGAATACGTTTACTGAGTTTCGCAGTAAATGAAAGCATGATAATAGCCTTTACGAGATGTTGGGAAGAGAGAGAAAGAACGGATGGAGGGTAAGAGTAACGTAAGAACTGTATTTACAAATTAGAATTGGTCCAAACAAAGAGGTAAGTGCTGATATCCAGTTCAAACCAAAATACTCACCTGACCAGTGTTTACAATTTCCAAAGTGGCTGTCTGTTTTTCAAGAAACTGGACATCTTTAAAAATAATCTACATAGAACAAGAAAAAAATAATCACAAACTTGGGGATGGAGTTGTGATGTTCAACCAAGCTCTTAGAGCTAAAATTCAAATAATTGTGTTGTAATGTGGAATGAGAATCAACATGTTGAGCTTGAAATAATAAAGGTTGACAAGTTTCCAATCCACTATATGTACAATACCTCTGTGGTACCCAGTTGGACTTGGGGCAGGTTTTCATTTTCTTTTCTGTCAAGTTTTCGTATGACATCTTCCATAACTTGTCTTTCTTGCTCCACATTTACAACTCTGACCTGTCAATAAGTAGCAGTTCTTGGAGGTGAGCAGTAAAATCACATGCACGCAAAGACACTTCTAATAAACATATGGTGGTGGCTTATTCCTCAATGTACAGTAGTTGTAGACACTGTGACTTTTATTCTTATAGCCTATTCTGGGCTCCACTCTGTATCTGGTGTAACCAACATTATTATATGGATTGTGTTTGTAGTCGCTATAAATAAAGCACACTCTGATTGGCTAACTCTAGGGCATTATTATCTGTAATGCCCATCAGCTGATTACGAGCCTGCAAGAACAAAGCAGAACGCCATATAATAAACTACTTCTTAACCTCGAACATTTGGTCTTTACAGGAAAATCTTAAACCTCAGTCTTGCTGTAAAATGGCAAGGTCTTGGTTTGAGATTTTCCCAGTCCTGACTCTTGCTTAATAAGTAGTTAAAACTGAATAAAAATGCCTTTGAATAGAAAACAAGGGAAAAAAGAAAGTAGGGTAACATATCTTGAGGTTCTAAATTATTATTTTTTTATCCTGTCTAGGATTTTGAGGCCACACATTGAATCCACTTCTGACACTTAATGAGACATAAAAGCATGAAATCGTAAAAATGCTATCTCACAATTCGTTTTTACTTGTTAAGAAAGCTTTTGGCAACCTTGTACGTAAAATATAAAATATCTTTAATGTAATTATCCCATGCCTATCATACATGGATCAAAATGCACTGTCTTGTTTTACAGACTTGAAAGCAAATAAAACATTATTTGTTGAGTTAAAGCATTATCAATGCTTGTGACAGTAGAATAGAGCCTTGTGTATCACTTTTAGACTTTGAAAGGTCCCCACCCTCTATATCCCACAAAATTGGGAATGCCTCTTTACAATGCATCTAGAAGGGAGTGCATGAAGGGAGGCAGGTTTTAATACTCGTCTGGTGCCTGGGTTACACTTACCCCAACTTCAAACAAGGCGCTGACAGGTTTATGGTCACTTATTTTTAGTTTATTATGGCTACGATATTCCAGCTGGTTGACTTGAGATCCTGTCCATAAAATACGATCACACCAGGCAGGGGCCCGACCTTTTTCGCTAAAAATAAAAAAAATTCAAAAAAATTCAAAATAGTCTCAATATAGTACTCAGTGATCCAGACCTGCTTTCATTGTGACTGAAATGAAATCTACATTCATTAAACATTGCTGGCACATTTCTAGCAGTAATAAACAATCTCTCCCTTTGTGTATTCAGTCCTTCCTCAACTAGAGGAACATCCAAGAATGATTCAATCTGAAAAATTCCACCTGATGATTAAGGACTATAGAGGTCCATGAAGAGTCAATGATTGCTTTTCACTTGCACTCACAAATTTAATACCACAAAAAAAAAGTCCTAAACACTGAACAGATGAAAACTTTCAGGCCTAGTTCGATCTGTATTAAACAAGTTTTATACTGCTTCCATAAGAACTCTCTTGTCCATACAATCTTGTGCTTATATGGTTAAAACGTAAATGAGCAATATTCTGAGTGGCTCTCTTACACTTTGAAAGTGCATAAAGCAAAACCACACTGAGCTAATTTCCTCTACATGCGTGTTAGACAACCTTGTACTGATCAAATCCAATAGTAAAGTAATCACTGAGTTGACTCAACATTCTTAGGTTAAAGTTTTATTTGCTGCTTGTTATTAAAAAGCGACGTCATCTATGCACAACCCTGTCATGTTAATAATAAAATCACCTTGTGTCCCAATTATCTGTTCCTGGATCGTATTTGTAAGTTGGTTTGAACTTGATGCTGCCTTCTTTAAAACCTTTAAAGCATTTCTTTTCTTTTTGTTCTTTGATGAGTTGATCATTGGCTAGGAGTTCTTCATACTGCCCTTTATCTGCCAATCTTCTCACGAGATCTGTATCCATGCCACTGATCCTGTAATTTAAGTCTCCTAACCAGAACACAGCCCTGACAGAGAGAGGATGTTTTGATTATGTGAAACCCTGGAGACAAGCTATGTGTTTAACAAAATACATATATTCATGAAATGTGGCTAAATGTAATTTAGGCACAGTTTGAGTCGAGCCAATGCTGGCCAGCAGTCTCACAGGGTGACCATGCTCTGTGGGGTCTTATACGGAGTTTTGCAGGGATTATGTGTTTTTCTTGCCAGCTGTTTGTCTTGAGTGCCATTTGTGCTTGTAGCCTGCTTTTGCTCCCTCCCCTCCCTCCCTTTCGCTGGCGATGGTATGTATATGGGGTGGTAAGTATATCCACTGAATCTATCAGTGTGACAGTGCCTGGTGGTTGCCACTCTCAGAGTTGCCATGGATACCTGCGTGCTCTACTTGAGGCTCATATCTCGGCTCCACCTTTCCCAAGCTCATCAACTGGCGATTCATTAGTTTAATACTACATATAACTTACTCATGATCAGTGATTGAAAATGAACCATAGGACCCATTAAACTCCAGCTTGCTTAGAATATCTCTGTAGTCCTGTTGGTTGGAACAAATTATCGTCATTGATTTTTATTCAAGATAAAGATATACCCCTAATATCTTTCATTTAAGAAATCCAAATCTAGTAATACCCAGTCATTATGATTGTCGAGCGACAGTAGACTCATGGGAAGGGCACTTACTTCCAGATTGAACAGTCTGGATTTGAGGCCTGGCCAGAGAAACTGCACTGTGTTCTTGGGCAAGACACTTAACTCTCACAGTGCCCCTCCCAACCCAAGTGTTTAAATGGGTAGTGGCGGATTTTAATTAATTCTGGGGAGTAGCCCTGTGATGGACTACCATTCCATCCAAGGAGGAGTAACACTCCTAGTACTTCATGTTATAGAAACCAGAGATAAGCACCAGCCTGATAGGCCAGTTGATGAACATGCAGACTTTACTTTCACATGTGGTCTCATCTACAATCATGGACAAATTGTGTTGGAAAAGGCCAAAAACATGAAATCATAATCGTAATGCCTACAGAATACGTGTCGACACCCCCATTCCCCCTTCCAATGTTGGAAAATGGTTAAATGCAACTTGTGTCAGATGAAAGTGTTTTGTCAACATTGCACAGGAGTGGGAAGCGGCAAAATGTGTATAGATTGATTTTTTTCCAACTCTTGTGACCAAGGTTGTAGCTGCCAGTAATAATTATAATTAATACCGACAGTACTAGTCTCAGCTGGCAATCAATAACCAAATTTACCCACATCCTCCAAAATCATGTGGTTAGACAGCCGTGTGTAATGAGATGAGATGCGTCTATGAAGCTTCAAGAGCGACCAGGTGTGTGGGAAATCTATTGACATCTAAGTGCAATAATTCTTTAGAAAATAGCCCAAAGAAAATACATGCACTGATGGGTTTAAAAATGATACATCCTTAACTCGATAGAAACAGAACTAGCACAAGCTGTTGAGTTAAGATGGCCCTAGTAAGGAGAAGTTTGATGATCAAAGTAAACAAGTTGTTTTCTTTTTTTGTCACAGAATTTTCATAAAGAACTGGAAAACTTGTTCTCCGTGTTTCTAATATTGAGTTTTAGTATAAATCTACTAGCGTTCTATCACAACTGCCGTTCTCTGATTGGCTACGCTACTCGTTATCTATTCTGTGATAGATAGTGAGTAGTGTGGCAGTATGCCCTTGTTAACAAAATGATGTCTGCTTCTTGACAGTTTCGAAGTGTCTGTGAAGAGGATTTAGATAAAGTTTTGAATAACTAGTAAATTTATACTAAAACAATTAAATTATTGGCTCTCGATTTCTATGTGTGACAGTTGACTTGAGCTGCGCCCTCGTCAACTATCACATGATAGAAATCTTGTCTGAGCTCATAATCTAATTGTTCAATAGAAACACTTGTGGTAGTTTGAGAGAATTTGAAAAACCTGTGGAAACACTTGCCTGTTAAATCATGTTCTCACAGCATTTCTCGTTCTCCCAATTAACTTCCACTTGTGTTTCTATAGCTCAATACTGAAACACGGCATACATTTTCAATTTCTTAAATATTATACTTAGCATTACTATACCTGGTTTCTCCTCTCAAACTCCTCTGTATGAGCTGCAAGATGGGAGTTTACAAAACAAATACTTGTGTTGTGAATCTGCATTCTAATGGCCACACCTCCTTTGTTACCCTGTTTAGAACCAAAGTGTAGCTAATGAACACAACAATTAAGGGCCTGTTTACAGGGAGGGTTACCCTAGCAAGTGGGTTAACCCTAGCTGGAGGGCAAAAGATAGCCCAGGTTTACAAGCAAATTTTCACAGGTAGGGTAACCCTACAACCCAGGACAACTTAATGTGCCATTACACTCAAAGGGTCTGGAAATAAGTAGAAAGTAAACTGTTAACTCGGGTAAGCGGGTTAACCCTACCTGGACTGTTTACAAGGGAAAAAGTTAACCCACCTGCCAGGGTAGCCCTGGCACACAGATAGGGTAACTTGCCTACCCAGGTAACCCTGGCTGCTTTGTAAACATGATGAAGAAAAAAAGAGGAAATGTGTGAGTGCTAGGGTAACCCGCTTGTGAGGGTAACCCTCTCTCCTTGTAAACAGGCCCTAAGATCTAGATAATACATTACTGTATAATCTTGCAAAGGTTTTCTGTACCCAACAATGCACTGTTTAGGCCTAGAACCAAGCAAAATCATTGGCTGTTTGCCATCACCATAGAAACTCTGATGCAAAGTCCAATGATATATTAATTTTTAGCACTTAATAATATGAAATCTGCTAATTTCTTTTCAATTTTTACATTGTATAATAATTTAATTAACAAATTTGCAACTTTACTATTAATAGTACAGACTGACCTGTCTGGTTTATGCACATATTTGTACAGCTGTACATTCCCACTCTTATTTTCTTTATTCATTTATAAAGATACTAATATTAAAAACTGGATCACTGCAGATAAATGAGGGAATTCAATGGTTTTCATTGGCTTAGCCATCATGGTATATGAGCCATTATATCATGCTTTGCAAATATGGGAAGTGTAATTGTAACTCTATTAGGTGTTTTAACTTTATTTTATTTTACTTCTATTCAGTTTTCTATATTTGGGGGCACTTTCAATAAAACAGTTATGGTATCATAATTCTTATTCCACATGTGCTTGTTGAATATGAGACGGTTAATAGTTAACTCATATCCAATGCATGCTTGTGTAATAATTGTTAAATAATTTATCAAGTGTTACAATATGTCATTAGGATAAATAAAATGCAAGACTTGCAAGTAAAAACTCCTCAGATCCTTACCATAAGACCCATGATGCCAGTAGCTACAGTTTCAGCATCAACTTCAGTGACATAATGCTGATACTGGCTCTTGACAAAAACCATCAGTAAGATGCCCACCAGACGAATGGTCTTCACCTGGAGAAGTGCAAACAAATGACAAATTTTCAACACATGAAAGCCAAAGGGGTGGGGGGGAGGGGGAATACAAACTTTAATTTAGAGAATCTGATGTGAACAGTCATTAAACATTGTCGTTGGGTTTCTCTATGTTGTCTACATTACTTTGTAGCTACTTAACCTCAAAACAAAATAGACAACGCAATGCCCCTTAAAAAAAGTACTTTTGCCATAACCTTAATGTATTGAGCTTTAGGGTGGAGTCCTCGCTCAGCAATCTTTAGCCACTCGTCTTCTTTTGGAGTAACATTTTTCAGCAATGTCTCAGCACTGAGGTCAAGCTCCTGAAAACTAAATAAACAAAACCAGTGTTGGAAATTAGCGCTTGCCCGCTCACCAATGTGAGTGCGAAGAGTGTCGGGCGAGTACAAATCATTGACCACTCGCCCGTTTGGCGAGTACATAATACTGATAACACTCCTTTTTATTTTCCATTTTATCTCTAAACCAAAACTTCCAGGTGCTTTTTTCACCTTTTTTATCTTTTTAGATGCTCAACTAATTTGCCAATAATAAAACACAACTTAGTGTTTCATAACATAATAGACAAAATGAAATATGGCTTCCTTGCAGTGACGCATCTTTCTGGGCGAGTGAAAGTAACACTGGGTGAGTGCAGTTTGAGAGTCACTCACCCGAATGGCGAGTGCTGTCAAAATTTAGTTTCCAGCACTGCAAAACACCCTTCTGTAAGTTGTCTTGTAAAGTAGAACCCCACCTTATGGTAGGTCACCTTTTTATTATGGCTACTTCTTTGTTCTGGCAAAACACCCAAAATTTTCTTGTAAGAAAATCCTGTTAATGCAGCCACCTCCTTAACACTCCAATGGCCACATTCTGAAATCCCAACCTGTATATTATTATTTTACCCTGTTTACGTATATGGCACTCTAACCAGTCATGTTACTCTTTCCATAGATCCTTTGCATAAATGGTGTCTAAATTTGAATAACAATAATTTATACATCCTTAGCCTCATACTCGTGTTTCAAGACAAAGGATTTTTTCACATGAATGTGAGGCTAAGGGTATATACGTATTGTTATTCAAATATAGGCACCATTTATGCAAAGGGTCTACTGTTAATAATATATTGTAAGTATGTATTGATTGAAGTTGATGGTTCAATTTTTCTTTAAATTATTTCCACATTCCAGATGCTTATTAAAGAACAGTTGCATAGAAGTACAATTGTGATAATATTTACTCAATTTAGACCAGTCATGAAATTTGACCCTAGGTCCTTAATAGGACCACCCCATTAATATGGCATGAATATGGCATTAATATGGCATTAATATGGCATTAATATGGCATTAATATGGCCAAATTTTCATGGCCCTTTGGCTCCAAGTGGCTTATGAAAAGAAAATGTCTCACCCCAGACTGAACACATCAGGTGGATCTCGATCAACAGCAAGCCAAGGTGCCACATTCTCTGCAGGAGTCTGGCCATTGACATTCCATGTTCCAACAAAGATTCTACATTAATACACACATTTAATTATAACATGAGGCAAGTTGTCAATAGCCATATATGGTTGACTGTGGAAAAATTTATAACCTAGAGTCACACTAAGCTCTCAATGTGTACTTGTAAAGGTCTACAGCTAAACAGCCTTCTCTGTGAACGCAACCCTTGTACATTGAACACATATTGAATACTTATGCCTTCCTTGTTCTTGCTGTTTGTTAGTTGGTAGTTTTCTGAGAAATGATATATCTAGCCACAAGATATGAAGTTGTGTCTGTATAAATAGTCAAATGTGCTCATTCTGACATGACTTGTCTGTTACTGTGTACATGTAGGTATACCTTACAGTTGCTTTGCCTTCAAGATATTTGTTACTTTAGTTTGTGTTTAGAAACTTGTTACACTGGACAGATGACCCCTGGGGGAACCCCCATATAAAATGGACAATGTGCTCGTTGGAAATTTTGAAAAGAACCCCTAAGCGGTACCAAGATCCAGTTTCGTAGGCATGGCTTGCATTTTTTTTAAACCCTAAGGGTACCAATTCTAAAGCAACACATAACCTCCTGTTGAGTTTTTTCTTTTGGCTCAATACCCAAAAGGCACCACAAACACTCCCACTGTCAACCTTTTGAGGCTGAATATGTACCCTTAAAAGGTATTACAAGCACCCCTATCCTTTTTATATGGGTGTTGCCACCCCCCCCCCNATAAGAAGTACCAAAATCCCTTTTGCAAACCCTTAAAAGGTACAACAAGCACCCTTGTTCTTTTAATATGGGATTTTCCCCCCCCCCGGGTTCATGGCACTATTGTACGGATGTAACTCACTTCAGCTTTTTGATATGAGTGTATTCCGATTCTCTTGTAGCCATGTGCAGTTTAATAAATCCATCCCTGGCACTAACGCTTGTTGGCAGGATAGACCTCCTGGGTAGTGCAGGTGAGTCAGTGCTTCCCTTATCTACTTCATCAGAGGCGGTTAGACTCGCTGACGACAGTGATGGGTGTATGGTGGGTGAAGGAGAAAACCCTGGCATTCCAAAGACATCTAATGATGCATCGTCTGGTTTGGATTCTGAGGCTAGTAAAACAATAATTCAAATAACAACATGTCGATGCTACCACACACAGCCATTCCCAAAAGACATCAAATTTCTTAAATTTCTTAAACAAGGAAATCATAACCATCACCATCATCATCATCAGATGGAGATTTCCTCAACTGATATATTCTGGTAGTTTCAAATTGTCATGTGGCAGAGATTTTGATTTCATTCCTCAAATTTAAATGCTTTGCTGGACATTGCATTTTCAACTCTCACTGCCCTTCATGCTTTTTATGTACTACATGAAACAAGCTCAATTTGTTGGACTTTCTTAGAGATAATAATTATTATAATTGCTAGCATTGCAAATAATCCAACTCCAAATTTTATGCAGTAAAGGGCAGAGGAAGAGGTGTTCCACTAAGTTTGCTATTTCTAACTTTTTATTTACTAAGTTCAAAATTCCTCTTTGTATATTTTACCTGTTACAACTTCTGATCCACTTGAGCTTGCTACTTCTAGGTGATCCCAAGGCCAGCCATCTGTTTGAATCAGTGACTGAGTAATTAGTTAGTTATATGGGTTATTGACCTAGCGTGAGGTCAAGATGGTTGGATATGGTGTGTTTATGGACCGAGATGGAGTCAAGGTCTGTAAATCCATATCCAGCTGAACAAGTTCAGTCAACACTGTTTTCTTGCGGGACACAGTGGGTAATCCAAAGCTGGCAAGATAGCGCAATTTTGCTCGCTTGGGTAGCCAATCGAAGCACCGGATTCAGTTCACCTTGCCTGCTCACTGAGCTAGACATTTTAGTGATAAAAAAACTTATTGACCTCAGATGTTGTGGGACTGCAACACTCATTAGCCCTAGTGAACATTTTTCCAGGATCTTCAAACTTTAAAGGACATTTGAGCACCATCTTGAGGATATGGAGAATCTTGGTAAGATCCATGCAGAAATCTCAATCTTTCAGAAATTGTTACTTGAGTCTTCAAAATTTTCTGGACCAAAGTACTCAAGGACATTGGTTGACGTCTTTGTAGTAAGATCCTTGTCTTGGCTAGGGAGGACCTTTTAAGACTCAGAGTACACCTTACAGTGATACTTACCTACGCTTATGAAACTTTTTCTTCCAATCAACTGCTGATATTTTTCTAGCCACTTGAATTCAGGCACACCAACCATGTGAGCCCTTTGTCGATAAGCTTTACAGGTAAATAAACAAAAACTTTTATCAGTAATAACCTATTAAAACAGACAGGGTTACAAAAGGGATGTGGTGAGAAAGAAAAGGCGAGGAACCAATTGAGACTCAGATTTTAAGGAGAAAGTGGAGGTGGTAAGGTCACATCTTAAGGAAACAGGCTAACAACATCACCCAACAGGCACTAAAATGGAACCCTCTGGGTAAGAGGAAGAAGGATCACCTAAGGAACTCCTGGAGAAGGGGTGTGGAGTCTGAAATGAAGAAGTGGGGCCACACCTGGACCATACTAGGAAGGCTTGCCCAGGACAGAAGCCGATGGAGAACAGATGTGGTCAATGGCCTTAAGTATGCTCCAGCTGAAGCTGAGGGACAAATCAATCACCTTATTGAAACCACAACCAGGGTATTGAAACCCCTTACTCTGGAATTGTTGTAGCTAAATATCTGTCACTATTAATAAGAAATTCAAACCAGTTCAAATGCTACTAATAATACTGAAAGAAGTGGCATCACCTCCAATGGCTTTATTCAATTCAACCAAGAAATTCTTTCCTTGAGTATCCTTCTTCAACTCAAAGACAAGCTTTGTCTGGTCGTCAGTCAGGATTTGAAACCGTACTACACCTATAATAGAAATGCATATTATACAGTCACTTTATTTTAAAAGCAAATTTTTATTGTGCATGATATGACTCAATTTGCATAACTGCTGATTTTGCATTCCAATATTGCTGCAATTATCAGTGTATCTTTCTAATTAAGATTTTTGTATTGCAGCTAATAAAAATTATACATATCTTGGGTGAGTTTATGGACAATGCTATGATGATATTTAATTTAACGTAAATGTAAATGTAAAATGTAAATGTAATTTGTTTACCCACGGAGCACCAAGGAGTTCACAGAACTCGTTCAGAAATGTCCGTGCAATAAGTTTCTTTAAAAAATTTACATGAACAGCATATTAATTGATATAGGATGTTGCAACATGCCAAGTATTACTAGTTAACAAGAAAAAAATGATAATTGTAATAATAATTTTTTTAAAACTATTGACTGTCAATTCATTGTTTACCCTCTTTGTCGTTACTTTCATCAGCTGGTTGATCTTTACATACAAAAAATATAAAAAAAACCAAAACATTTGAATATTAGTAAGATAGACTACAACCTATTATTTTAATGTTACTTTCTGGCTGGGAAGCCCATATAGTGAGAAACCGTGACCTTGGAAGGTCTTGGAAATGCTGCCCAAGGCTGCAAGCCAAGGACAGCATTTTCAAGTCCAAGGTCGCAGTTTTTCACTTTACAGACTGACCCTAAGCTGGTAAATAACTTATTTATTTTTTCCTCTCTCTCAAATCTTTTTCTAATTGTTGACCTTTTCCACAACACAATGTGCCTATGCGTTACCGTTAAACCATGGTCAGAGATAGGAAAATCTGAACTGCCGTAAGAAACAATCAGATTGGAGGATTTGTTACTGAAATGAGTGACAACATGAGAGTAAACATGTGTGTGTTACCTAGCAACACAACAAACTGTCACACTGTCACACTTTGACCTCAGCCAGGGATCAAACAAGGATGACTTGACCTGGAAGAGGTGCACTGAGAGCCAGCCGATCACCTTCCCTCTTACATTATATTGCACATTATTATATTATACTTTTTTATACACAAACAAATATCTCAAACACATGACTTGTATATGATTGTCAAAATATGTTGTTACTAACATTTCTCTGCCAAGTGTACAAAATTGAAGTTAAGTACCAACTAACTCGAAAGATTTTAAAAGAAATGTGGACACTACATGACCTCAAGATAAAATAAGCGTGAACACATACCAGCCACAGTTGCGTACGAAAAAGGTCCACGGATGGCCAAAACATACAGGACCTCTAAATACTTTTCTTGAAAAGATGATTCACCCATCCACTGAAAGATGATCAACCTGTTAAAATAAGTGGTGAGTGTGTGAATTTTATTAAATGCAGATCAGAATTTACATGTGGTAACTGATGAATGGATGGGGAAATATATACATTGCATTGGATACAAAAGGTAATTAAGTCAATTTTTAATTAATTAATATGTATTTTATAACAATGATTTTCTCAGAATTAAATTGAAAATGTTTTTTCCAGGGAATATTTTTACACACCATACACTAAGTTCTTGAATTATTTACAAACAAGCAATCTGAAAGATACTTTAGTCTTAAAATTAATCAACGTTGTCAGGGTTTGAAAAGAACTTGAATTCCAGCTTGCCCTTGGGACAAGCAGCTCTCAAATTTTGCTTGCCCTTAGCAAGTCTTAGTTTGCTCTTCTAGTAGTTTAGTTGACACAAGATTTGCCTGATCCCTGGGAATGAAATGTTACATGTACTTGCCAAGAAGGAAAATCTACTTGTCCCAAATGTCCAGATGGCACTGTGCCCTGCTGTTGTATTGTTCAATTAAACATAAGCTTAAAGTCTTGTATACACCAAAAATTAAGTACCCAGTATCCAGAGTTCTTGTTATGAGAGAAATGAGGCAGCCAACTTTGTTGTGATCCTTTAACAGAACTCCTGTAGTGCAGTATGAACCGTTAAGGAAATAAATAAGCAATACAAAACTATTTTGCCCACAAGTATATATCTCAAAGGCAAACTTTGGAGAGTAACGCTATAAACCTTGGCCTTATATTTACTCTTTCTCTTTGCTTTTTTTGGGTTCTTTCTCTCCTTCTTACTTTGCTGGTTTTTGGATGGAGAAAAAGAGGGGGATGGCCTTATTATTTAAAACTGTATCAGGTCAAAAAATGTTCCTGATCCCTAAAGTAAAGAAAAAGTACTAACCGACTCAATAATATTTAATGAAAATAATTTTCATTTAATTCCCAGTCCTGCATTCATGCATAAATAAATCATCATAAAAGTGGACAGCCTTCAATTACAAAGCTACTTACATGTAACAAATAGATTCCATGTTGTTCAGTAATACTGTAGATCACAGATGATGTCATTATAAACAACTAGGTAAGAACAGAATGGCTTGGAGGCGACAGCTGAGTGTATCACTGCTGTTCTTACCACATTTTAATAACCTTCTGTGATCTATTAGTGAAAAGAAGCAAGGCAACATGGAATCTACTTGACCTGGTTTTATAATAATACCCAGAAACAAAAAACAAAGGTTAATGGCCTTGTCTATGTGTCAGTCCACCAATAGATCATAAGTAAGAACCAATCAACATGTGAGAATAATTTGACTTATCATATAAAAACCAATACTTCATGAAAATTTAACAATTTGGCATTGAGCCCTGTATATGGTATTAAATAAATAATTTATTTAACTGAAGAATTTGCAACATATTAATTATAGATGTCTCCCTTCTGTTCACTCACTACGGGAATATATATTAAAATGTCTTTTACAGGAAAAACAGAGACAAAAAATAACTCAATATCAGTATCCACAGGCTGTCGTACTTTATTATATATTATAAATTATAAATTGGTCAGAAATGACAAACAGGAACAAAATTAGACACTAAAAGTTTTGAATTGATCTGAGTAGCTGCGCATCTTGCAATAATTGTGCGCAAATTTCAGCTGTGTTTTTCATGGTATCATCTGATATGCCAACAATCGTTTCCCTGTCAAATCTCGCTTAGTGAGCAATAACACCATATTTCCTGCCGGACGCAAAATTGTTCCGCCTTCAAATTGGCCATATATCATCGAGCAAGCGAGCGCTGCTGTCGGTGTTGAACAGTAATATAAGTTATCCACGGAGTTCTAATGATAGCTGATCCCAGTGTCACCTCAACAAAAT